GTGTGTGGTGGACCTGGTTCTGGCGCAAATTCGCTACTCCATTCCCGAGGAGCTGGAGCACGGAGCCTTTGTGGGCAACATAGCAGAGGACCTGGGTCTGGATGTGGCTAAGCTGTCAGCCCGCCGCTTCCGCATAGTCTCCGGCGCAAAGAAGCAATATTTAGAAGTGAACCTGGAAAATGGAATTCTATTCGTTAACGAAAAGATAGACAGAGAGGAGCTGTGCGAGCGGAGTCCGAGCTGCTTCCTCCACTTACAGGTGGTCATTGAGAACCCGTTAGAACTCTACAGAGTGGAAGTGGAGATTTTAGACGTGAACGATAACTCTCCCAGCTTCCCGTGGACTGAGTTCAACCTCGACATCACGGAGTCCGCGGCATCCGGCTCCCGGTTCCCGTTAGAGAGCGCGCAGGATCAGGACGTAGGCACCAACTCGCTGCGCTCCTACCAGCTGAGCTCGAACGCGCACTTCGTGCTGAACATCCAGACGCGCAACGACGGGAGCAAGTTTGCCGAGCTGGTGCTGGACACTCCGCTGGACCGGGAGCAGCAGAAAAAGCACGAGATGGTTCTCACGGCTTTTGACGGAGGGTCCCCGGAGCGCTCCGGGACTGCGCTGATAACTGTGACAGTTTTAGATGCCAACGATAACGTGCCCGCGTTTGATCGCTCAGTTTACAGGGCGAGTCTGGTGGAAAACGCACCGCGGGGGACTTTGGTGCTGAAACTGAACGCCACAGACTTGGATGAGGGCTCAAACGGGGAAGTTACCTATGCGTTTAGCGGGCACGCACCTCTCAAGGTGCGCGAGCTGTTCAGCGTGGACCCGTATATGGGGGAAATCCGCGTGAAGGGCGTTGTGGACTACGAGAAAGCCAGCGTGTATGAGCTCTATGTGCAAGCTAAAGACAGGGGACCGTCAGCTGTGGCAGTCCACAGTAAAGTTCTGGTTGACATCCTGGATGTGAATGACAACGCGCCCGAGGTCATCCTCACATCCGTGTCCACACCTGTCCAGGAGGACGCGCCGCCTGGCACGGTGATTGCTGTGATCAGCGTGATGGACCGGGACTCCGGGGAGAACGGGAACGTGGACTGCCAAATTCCGAGCAACGTTCCCTTTCAGCTCCACTCCTCTTTTAAAAACTATTACACCCTGGTGACGAGCGAGCCCCTGGACAGGGAGACGGTTTCTGAATACAACATCACCCTCACAGCCCGAGACCAGGGCTCTCCTTCGCTCTCCACCAGAAAAACACTTCTGGTCCAAGTGTCTGACATAAACGACAACCCCCCGCGCTTCTCTCAACCTTCATACACAGTTTATGTGACCGAGAACAATGCCCCGGGCGCTTCCATTTGCTCTGTCACCGCGTTCGACCCGGATTCGAACCAGAACGCCTATCTGTCCTATTCTATCCTCGAGGGTCAGATACAGGGCATGCCCGTGTCCACTTATGTCTCCATCAACTCTGACAACGGCAACATCTACGCACTGCGCTCTTTTGACTATGAGCAACTCAGAAACTTTCAGATCCTGGTGCAGGCGCAGGACGCCGGCTTCCCCCCTCTCGCCAGCAATGTGACAGTCAACGTCTTTGTCCTGGACCAGAACGACAACGCGCCTATAATTGTGTCCCCGCTGCCCAAAAACGGCACCGTGGCGACGGAGGTGGTCCCGCGGTCTGTGGACGCCGGGTACCTGGTGGCCAAAATAACAGCGTTGGACGCGGACGCAGGGCAGAACTCCCGGCTCTCCTACCAGGTGCTGCAGGCGACAGACCCGGGTTTATTCAGCGTGGCTCTGTACACCGGAGAAATCAGGACTATTCGCCGCTTAGTTGAAAAAGACGCAACAAGGCAAAGACTTGTAGTTTTAGTCAAGGACAACGGGCAGCCGCCGCTGTCCGCCACCGTCTCCATTGTCCTCACAGTTGTTGAGAGCGTGCCTGAATCCCTGTCAGATTTCGGAGACCTCACACTCAGCCCCAAGCCCCCCTCGAACCTCGCCCTCTACTTGATCGTGTCACTGAGCACCATATCCTTAATATTCCTCGTGGCTATTATAGTACTGGCTGCGGTCAAGTGCTATAAGGACAGAGAGACGCACAGCGGGTATAACCTGCCCCCCTTAGCGTGCTGCTGTTGCGGGGGTTTCCAGCCGGAGCCGCCTCCGGAGGTGTTCAAAAAATCCAACCTGAACCTGCAGATCTCCTCCGCGGCCAAAGTCCCGACGAACTGCATGGAGGTGAATGGAAATAGCAGTTTCTCTCAGTCATATTGTTATAAAGCGTGTCTGACCCCCGAATCAGCCAAAAGTGACTTTATGTTTCTGAAGCCGTGCAGCCCGAGCAGCACGCCGAGGAACAACGAGGCGAAGGGCTCGGAGAACTCGTGGAACGGCCGGAGCGCGTCTGTGAACAACGGAGCCACAACTCCCTGCGAGGTAAAGTCACACCGGCAGAAACAATACGGGACTTAAAGAGCGTGGTGTTGTTGCCTTTTCACTCCAACTGATTTCACCCCTCTGACACGTCTGCATCAGTGAGAACTCAGTGTGTGACATTCCATCCCTTGAAGGTCAAACACATGACACACACACACGTTTCAAATCAGCCTGAGTAGACACACGTTTTCTTTTCATTCTTTCTCATAAGTCATATTATATCTCACTGCATATATATATAT